CAATTACCTTAATTACAAACACCTGCTGACATGACAGGCACAAGCTGGTAAAGAAAACACATTTGAACTTGGTTCCATTTCATTCTGCAAAGCCATGCTGAAATGACATGCAACGTGGTAATGCACACTTGTTTTTACATCGTAAAAACCCATGTCTAGTTATTATTTATAACTTTTTCACATCATGTGTTTGTGTTTTTATCCTGTTTTCAGTGAAGCTGGTGTCTTGTCTCCTGTCACTGTGTGAGAGGTGCTGGACACCTGGACAGGGGCACAGAGACAAACAGCCATTCAATAGGGACAATTAAGAGTTAACCTAACATGTACTTTATGTGTTTGTTCTGAGGGAGAAAACCCACACCTGCATAAGGAGAACATGTAACCTGCTGTGAGGTGACCACTCCTCTGCTGCACCTCCTCCTGATCTGATTTATACTGAATATGAATCAGTTTACTCTTCAGGATTAAAGGTAATGTAAGTAATATTACGTCAGTTATTTTCTGTCTTTATGCTCTTCAGTCAACGTTGAATATTTGTTTTGTAATCATTAAACTGTTTTTGTCATTCAGAGAACTGATGCAGCTCAGTCTGCAGTGTGTTAGTGACATCTGGTGCTCCTGTCAGGCATCACGGGGACAGCTGGGCCTGATGCCTCAGTCCCATGAGCTGCTCTGAGCCCTGAAATAAATGTGTAGATGAAGTTCACCGCTCCGACCAGCAGAGGGAGCCAGAGATAACTAACAGTAACCAGCACTGACCTACAGGCTTCATCTCTGTTTGCCTGGGGATAAAATGAAACAGAAACATGGTCTTGACATGAGAAATATGTCAGGGAGCTCATTTAGTTTTCTCTCCATTCGTCCCTAACATCAACATGAAACATGGGTCAGAACCAGCAGAACCTTTCTGACGAGCCGAGAAGATCTGGTTTGTTTTTCGTGAAAGCAGCACACATGTGTATAAAGTGAACTCTGCTCTGAAAACTATATTTTCTTTATAAATGTGTCTCCATCAAAGAGCAAATAAAGAGCATTTCCAACATTATTTTACTGTTACAACAAAAAACAATCAAGCAAACACAGATCTTCTTATTTCTATGTGCTGTTTCATTAAAGCTGGCCTAAAGCCTTAGCATTAACTTTTTATCTTAGTTTTCTTTGTTAGCAAAATAACTCTTCAGTCAACACATTTGATTTTTCAGGTCCCTGATTATGACCTTCAGGACATTAGATGTTTTAAATTGATTGTGTTTTAGCAGGATTTTAGCCGAAAGAGTAAAAAATATGTAGTTTCAAATATTTTGTAAATGAGTTGAATAAAAGGTTTTGTCTCTGAAAACTTATAGTTTCCTTTCTGAAGCTTTATTAAAGCTGCTCTTTGCTCCTGACATTTCCTTTCATGTCTGAGATTCCTTTGCTTTTTGTGTCGTCTTTCAGAACCGGTTTTTTTTTTTTTGTTTCTTTTTCAGAGAAAGATAATGTGAAAGGGCGCAGTGAGGATGAGAGGCTCAGCTCAGTCCTGATGGATCTGTTGTTAATCGAAGCAGCAAATGCTGCAGCACGTCTCTGCATCACGTGTCCTCTGGTCCAGGTTTGACCCACAAATCCCTCTGCTTCTTCTCTTCTTCTCATCTAACTCCGATTCTGTTCACYGAGGAACTGATGCTGCTGTTTGTTCCTGTTTTTTGGTAAAGATGTTGGTATTTTTGACACATTGTGTGTTTGTGTTAAACTCAAGGTCTAACAGCTCATCATACACTAGACTTACTCTTTAAGTCACAAACACATCAGATAAAACTGTCAGTCCTGCAGAACCACAGGAACACCTGTGTCACACCCTCGGACCAAAGTCGGACCCTTAAGGACTTCCCTTTGATTCTGATCCTGTTTTCATGGTCAGGAACTCAAGGTGCAGTTCAGGGGCCTCATGCATGAGGGATTGTGCAGCTTTCACTCTAAAAGGTGACGTACGGACAAATTTAGAAAAGTGCGCCGTACCAAAAAAATTCAGATGCATAAAACTGTGAGCACGCAGGTTCCTGCGCACCTTTCCTTTATACATCCCAATGAACTGAGACACCTCCCCTGACACGCCTCCATTTAAATATGTAAAATAGAAAAAACAAAAAGAAAAAAATTGTATAGGTCCTCTGGACGGGTTCTTCTTTAATGAAACGTTTTGTCTCTCCTCCAAGAGACTTCTTCAGTCTGAGAGTTTCAGGCAAAATTCAGGCTTTCAGTCACATGGAGGCAGTGCTTAAAAGCCTGAATTTTGCCTGAAACTCTCAGACTGAAGAAGTCTCTTGGAGGAGAGACAAAACGTTTCATTAGAGAAGAACCCGTCCAGAAGACCTATACAATTTTTTTTCCTTTTGATTTTTTTACCTGGATTACTGAGATGCATCAGGGCAGTTTACACATTGTTTTATTATTTTCTTCAAACACTGCATTTTTAAACCATCTATTATATTTTAGAAGACAGAGGGGTGTCTGACAGCTATTTTCCAGTGCTTGATTTTGTATCTCCATACTAGCCAAGATTAGAAAAATCCTGAAAGGCTATTATTA